TCTTCCTCGAGTCGCCGGCCGGCGTCGGCTTTAGCCAGCCGCTGCTCAATGCGTCCGAGTACGACGACACGCGCACGGCTGCGCGCGCCTACGAGTTTCTCGTCGAGTTTTTCACCAAGTACTCGGCGTACTATGGACGCGACTTTTACATCATGGGCGAGAGCTACGCCGGTCGGTACATTCCGTTCTTATTGCATCAGCTCGTGACGACGCCGATTCCGCTCGTGCACCTCAAGGGGTTTGCGATCGGGAACCCTGCGACCGACGACAAGATTGACGGCAACGCCTACATGGACTACTACTACACACACGCCATGATCTCGCGCGAAAACTACCTCTCGATGGTCGCCAACTGCGCCGGCGAGCAGCTCAAGAAATGCATGCGGTCGGTGGCCACCTGCTCGCCGCAGTGTGAAGCCGCACTTCGTGTCGGGATCATGTCGGCCAACAAGCAGCAGTTCAACCCGTACAACATTTATGGCGACGTGTGTCTCCTCCCAAACAGCCAAGGCGACGCTCTTCACTACCGCCCTGTCGAGCTCCCGCGCGGCGACATTGGGCCGTGCCAGGACAAGTTCACCCAAAGCTACCTCCAGCTGCACTCTGTCCAGGAAATACTACACGTCACGGGCAGCCACGTCGCGTGGGCCGACTGCAACCATAATGTGACACGGCTCTATACACGGAGCATCTCGGCGCTGCCGCTGTACCCGACGATTCTCTCGGCTGGTATGACATCTTGACTGGGGAGCAAGAGAAATACGATTCTCTGTAGGGCTCAAGGCGCTCATCTACAGCGGCGACGCCGACTCGGTGGTCAACTTTATGGGCACCGAGCGCTGGATCGCCGACGAAGGCTTGAACTTGAGCGTCGTGGCACCGTGGGCGGCGTGGATCGGCCCCGACAAGCAACTCGCGGGCTACACGCAGCAGTACGAGAACTTGACGTTCACGACGGTGAAAGGCGCGGGTCACATGGTCGCTGCCGTCCGCCCGCTGCACGCACTCTACCTCTTCGAGTGCTTTGTGTTTGGCAAGGAGGCGTGCGACGGCTTCTTGTACCCGACAGACCGCCAAGAGTACCTCAGCGGCGAGCACAATGGTATGCCGCTCATTCGCCTCTCGACAATGACTCGGGCGTCGGCGATCTTTGCGACAAAGGATGGCAGCATCGGTATCGCCCACGTCGCTGCGATGGCCAGCCTCGGCCTTGTCGTCACCGCCATCGTGCTGCGCATGTATATCCTCCGCCACCGCCGGTACCGATACCAAAAGCTGTAAGCACCCAAACACTGTACTGGTTGAAAGATCGGTCGCATCTGCAATCTGTCGTCCGTGGGGAAGGGTGAAGACTCCAGAGGGCGTTGCCGGGAGGGAGCGCAAGCCTGTTGCTCGGACTGCGCGGTCGCACGACTCGGTGATAGCTCTTCTGGCACTGTTCAACGCCAGAAGAGGCAAGGGGGCACAATGGAAAGCTTGATAGTAACCTTGTCACTCGTGGTCCATGGCCACAGAGTGCAAGAGCGAGTTCTACACATCGGCGCGACTCGTCTTGCAAGGGTTAGGCTTCATTGCCGTCAACCTAACATTCGTAGAGCAATGCACTACGAAAGCCATTGCTTTGAACGTTCGTAATGTGCACAAATTGTCCTCTGGGCGAATTCGTCGACAATTTCCAATGGCGAGGTTACAACGGTCTAGAAATCGGGGCGGCTCCAACAAACCAACGAGCGTTGCTGGCTTTGTAGTCGGAGCTTCCAACAAGATAGGGAGAGCCGCCACAACAGCGGTCGACGACCCAGATCTTATGTTTGTCCTTAAACGACTGGCATTCTACGTCCGACCAATCGACGCAGTGATGTTCCTTGCACTCGAGAGCAACCTCCTGTTTGCCAAGAAGCAGCGTGTCAATGTGCGACCAAGTCCGCTGGCCCTAGAAGCACTTGGGTGCGACGTTGAGGCAAGCTGCAGTTGCCAGCGAATAATTACGTGCAAATCATAACTTAGCAAATATAAATTAGGTAGCGTGCGATCTACAGCTCGTGTCTACCGATGGAGACGAGCGGGAAGGTCGGGAGCGTCCACGCGACTAGCGGGTATCGCTTGGGGCGGTACGTCGGGCGGCGCGTCGTGACGTTGAAGCGGCCCTTGGTTGGCACCTTGTTGTTCCACGGCCGGCACGAAAAGACCTTGAGGTTATAGCGTGTCTTGTCAAAGTCGTAGTAGCGGCCGAGGATCTGCGGGTGGAAGCGGTCGGCGGCCTCGTCCACATCGACGTCGAGCTCATCGACAGCCGGCAACGCAACGACGGGCTCGACCACGTGCTGCGTCTTTTGCTTCTTCTGCGGCGACGCGTCGCCAGGCAGGGGCGTCGACTCGGCGCCTTGGCGCGGGCGCTTGGTGCCCCGGCGGAGGTCCTCGGCGGCGCGCTTGACGACCTTGGTGAGTGGCGACTCGAGCGAGAGGTAGGTCAGCATCATGTGCGTGCGGCCAGGCGAATTGGGTTCTGTCACGTCCAGCGACCGCGCGAAAGCCGCTGCTGTTACAGATCCGTTTTCCAACAGTTCAGCAGCGAGAGCCAGACACGCTTTCTGTCCCAAATCACCGGCCAACACGTTTCGTAACAGGTTATAACACACGACGCCAATAACTTCTTATCCTAGCCCGCGCGGTCAAGAGGCCAGCGTGCTGCAATATGGGCGAGCCAAGCAGCTTGAGGCGACGAGCTCTCGATCGCTGGCCGTGAACCGTTCTATCAGCCAAGCAGCTCTTGTCGCATCGACCAGTACTTGCCACACGTCCCACGCCGTCCGACTCAGAATCGCGTACCGTGTACTCGGTACCGGAATGGTCATTTGCGTCATACAGTGTATGTGGCGTAGCGACGACGGCGTCGCGCGCCGCACGCGGCCGACGTTGCTGCCGTGGCACTTCCCACAGAGCCCACAGGGCTACTAGTGCGTGGTGGGATTGGGTCATCGAGTGTTATAACACGCGAGTGTCGGCGGCGCGAAGGCCAGGCCGTACGTTCTCGTGCCTCTACCCCAACGCACTTGAGCTACACGCGCTGACTGTATCACGGCGACACCACCAGTCCACTGGACTGCAGAGTGGGGACAATCGGCAATAATATCATGTTCAGCATATTTGTGACCGACAACTTCAACGAACGTTCGATGACATGGCAACCTTTGCGACACGGCGCTCATTAGCAACGCGCGATGCATATCAAAAGCGAAGGCGATAGCCAGCGCAGACATCGATCGAAGGTAGGTGGGGCTCGTTACATCGTGCTGGACCAGAGCATGCTGCTGCTGCTGGCGGTAGCGGCGGACGGACTCGAGTGGAGGTCCTCGGGCAGGAGACGCCGCATCACGTCCCGCACTTGGGCGTTTTCGATTCGAATGTTCAAGCGGGCGCCGGCCGCCACCGTCTCGGCCAAGAAGGTTGGCACACTACATCGCACGCCTGAGATGCAGAAAGAAGGAAGAGCGCACCTAGTCCCGATCACCGACGCCCACGCAAAGAGCCAGGGCGGTGTCGCCGTTGACGTCGTCGCTGCTTCCACGTACGTCGCACAGGCCATAGCGACTTGCTCCAGCCACGCTGCGCGATGTAGCTGAATACATGCAATGTGGGCAGTCGGATGGAGCTGCTGCACCACGAGGAGCACCCACAGCGCGCCACGTAACGAGCCGCCAGTCGAAACGGTCAAGAAGATTTGCCCCGTCGCGCGCGGGTGGAGCACGAGACTGCGCGCCGCCAGCTGCACAAGCAAAAGCGGGTACTTGGTGTGGGCGTCTGTGGCTTCAATCCACTCGCCCCACGCCGCGTGCGCGTCCTCAACGACTCTCGCGCTGGCTCGTTCGTCGCGCAGTAACAGCTTTGCCTCGAGCGTCGATAAATCCAGCGGCATGCCCCACGCGAGCCAGAAGCGCGCGAGCTTTAGAAACGAGGCACGCCACTCGGTCGGGTACGGGTGCATCGCGCCGCGGGTCGTGGCGAGTACCAAGTCGACATGCAGCTCGCCTAGAAGCGGCAGCACCGCACTCTCGGGCACGAGCGCAGCGTTGACCATGGGCCAAAAGTACAAAACGCTTGCGAGCACAATGGGCGACAAGGTCTCCTGGAGCTGCTGCCACGACATCTCGCTACCGCTCGAGAGACTGGCCGCGAGGAGGATGCCCGTCGTGCGCGGGTGCCACGGCGCGAGGTCGGCCAAGTGCGTCGTCGCAAACGCTTGCAGCAAAGAAAAAGCCCTCGGCTGCATATGTCCATGCACGACGACCGCGAGAAGCAGCTCCAAGAAGACGCCCACGTACGACGCCTTGTGTATCACATTGGTGCAAGCGGCGATGCGACTCGTTGCGTGCTCGGTTAGCACATTGACGATGGCCGTGACGAGGTTGCCCTTCTTGCTCGACTGGTTCATGACCATTATGAGCGCTTGCTGGAAGAGCGCGACGCCAAGCCCAACGTCGCAAGCCGCGTGCGGTCGCTTGCGCTTCTTTGTGCGTGTCCAGCACGGGTGGATCTAGAGGCCGCGTGGTGAAGCTACTGGCCGGCGCGTTGAACGTACCGCGACGCGGTCGTGCTCGGTGGTGTGCGGCAGTGATGCATCCGTGGCGTGGCACGTGTCTAGCAAGTTGAATTGCAGACCGCTGCGTTAGTTCTTTGTACCTTGGTGTCGAAGGAGCTCCTTGCCCATGCTACAGACGGTCGAGATGGCGGCGGCGTCGACGCGGTCCTTGATGCTCATGAAGTGCATTGCTAGGCAGTCGATGCGGTAGGCGGGTGAAGCGAGCCCGACGTGCAGCTCGAATTCGAGCCAGACGGGAAAGAACGCCGCCGACTCGAGCACTGGCGCGCGTTGCTCAAACAGCCGTTCTTCGAGGCGGCGGATGCTCGTAGGGAGCCACGACGGACCATCAAGGCCGTGGTAGTGGTGCCGCAGCGAGACCCAGTACAGAAACTGCACGACCCGCACCGAGACACGCGCGTCGACGCCGTCATTGCTTTGGGAGAGAAGAAAAATCGCCTCCGTGTACTCAAAGCAGCTGCAAAAGACGTCGACGATCGTATCGGGCGCAACGCCCGCAATGTGAGCTTCTAGCAATGCGATAGCGCCGGGCGTGTCATCCATGGCACACGCGGCGGCGCCGAGAAGCCATCCGCCGTGACGCAGCGTGGCGACGTCCGTGTGAAGCCACGCGAGAAAGGCTGTTTGAAGCGCGTCGACGTTGGGCAGCGCCGCAACGGCGACCAAGAACGTATGCAGCGACGGCAGCACTGACTCCGCGCTTGGTACTGCCAGCATCTCGTTGCATCCGGCGCGAATGTCACCGAGGAGCGTGTCAAGGGACATGGAGGGTTGGAGCAAGCTACCGCGCACGCGAGCCGTCATGCGGCCAAGCACAGCGGATGGCGTCCGTCCCGGCAAAATTGACGTAGCGACGAGCTCGCGCGCCAAGCTCGAGAGCGTTTGCTGTCGCGTCTGCTCGTAAGCGACGCGGCGCGTCACAAGCGCGTGCACGCGTTGAACGAACGGCGCATACTCGATCTCGGTGATCGACTTTTCGTGGACGAGCGCATGGGTGAGCTGCGCCCACCCGAGGAGCATCGAGAAGGGCAGTTGATGCGGCATCTCGGCGTGCAGCAAATATGGCTTGAGCACGGTTTGCCACACGTTACCCTGCATCAAGATGCGCTGGCGCAGCTTGGACGAGACGCGGCCGGTATCGAGGAAGGCCTCGACATACCCCTCGACTTCGGTCGCCGTGGCATCTCGGGCTTTGTCCAGCGCCGCTACTGGGCATACAGCGTTAGGTAAAGCTAGTATGGGGTGCGTACCGTTAGGGGTTGGAACGGCTGCGGCCTTGAGCTGCTGAAGCCGGCTCCGGGCCAGCGACACGTAGGTCCAGACAAACTCGGGAAACTCGCTCGCGTGGGTCTTGAGGACGCGGAGTGTCATTTCAATCGCCTTTGCGTCCGTCGTCGCGTGCAGCTCGTCGGTCAAAAGCGCCGACATGAACTGGAGACTCCGCTTCGTCGTCAAGAGAGCGCAAGTCGGGCGAAGACACACGGATACAGCTCGGGTTAGCTCTGTGTTGGTTGCCGTCAACGACGGTGACGCGTGGCTGGCGACGCCAAAGTGGACTTCAAACCAGCGGGAATAGATGTCTGGCTCGTCCACGCACGCTTGCGCCGCTAATCGGAGTCCGTAGAGCGCCACATCAGCAGTCATTGCCTGGAGGCCGGTCTCCACCAAGTCGTGCGCGAGCGAGAGCACCTGCAGAACGAGCTGCGGGCCCTCTCGGTGGTAGTAGCCGATGAGGGCGACCAAGCCGGGGTGAATGGTCCTCGAGGCGATGACGGCGGGGTCCGCGACCGCTGTTTGCAACACCTAGAGTACAGTGTTAGCGCACTTGGCGCACGTGAGCAACTACCGAGAGGAAGACGGTGACGTCCGTGACGCTGCCGAGCCGCTCGATGCGTGCTGGCGTCGGAGATGGCTGCGATGCGAGACGGACGAGCTGCTCGCGAAGAAAGGCTTGTATTGTTGCGTGCTGCTTGTGGGGCGGAAGGCGTCGATGAGTAGCGCATGTACTTTGTCATTGTCCGAGGTGTTGAAGGTCTCGACGATGGCAGCGATGGCAGGGCGAAGCAAGGCGACTGCGCTCTTTGTTGCGTCATCAAGCGATACGAGGCATGCGACGAGGTAGTCGAGGATGCGTCGGCTGGTGTCGTCTGTGGCCGACGCAGTGACCGTCGACACGAGGTTGTGCACGCCACGGCGCCAATGCGTCGACGCATGTCCATGGGGAAAGAGAGCTCGTAGGAGGTAGCTGCTGTAGTTGATCGCGCCCGCTTCGTGCAGCAGCCACGCAATGGTCGCGTCGTGCGGCGTCGCTTCGAGCACGAGTGCATCGATAATCGCAGCCGCCTCGAGCTCGCACGATCGGGCAACTCGATCGACATCGCCTTGGAGCACGTACGCCAGGTAGTTGTCGTCGCGGGCAGATGCCCAGGCTGCGTACGACCGCATGAGCGCGACCACGGCCGAGGGTGTCGAGACCGCACGCGCTGGCGCCGAGGTCGATCGCGGGGCTGCGCCATCCATGGCCCGGTTGCAGCTCTGGACGAAGCTCAGCATCTCGCTGCGAAGGCTCTCGCGTCGCCCATCGAGGCCCGGGCCCGCCGAGTCCTGCTCGCGCATGGGCAGATCTTGAGCTCGCGCGGTGCTGGGTCCACGATTCCGGAGTCCGGATAATATTTCACCGGTCCGGATACACGACTCCAAACCTACCCCTATGCTTGTGTCGTCGAGTTGTCGGAGTTTGCCAGCACAGTTCCCAGTCCGCTAGAGGTCAGGAACGGCGCGGCGCTACCGGTATCTCGCGTGCGACCAGCGAATGCTGTGCGAGATTACCGCGTTGATTCTCCAGCCCTCTTGTCGACGATGGCGAGTGGCAGACGTAATAACACAAAGATGCACAACTTGTCTGCCGCATTCAATAAATAGAGGGTGAATTGGACCTTACGACGACTCGAACTGACGGGAGCAACTACATGACGCGACACGTTTTGGTTTTTTCTTTGAGGCGCGGGGGAATTCGCCGCCCAGCGTTGGTGGCTTGATTGCTGCCCGGTTCGTTAGAGGGATTCGTCGCCTCGTCGTCCTCGGGCGTGCAGAGCTCGTCGAGCGCGGGAAACACCATGTTGGGCGTCGTATTGAGGCGACTTCCTGCCCGCTTAAAGGATGTCACAAACGAGTTGGGCAAATGCGGGACCTCGTCCAGCTTCCAGTAGTGGTCGACCTCGAACCCCGTGTTTTCAAACATGACAGTCACGTCACGGTAGCAGACAGGACACGCGTGCCTAGTACACACCACGTGTGACGTCACGACGTCCCAAGACGGCATGTACGTACGGCCAATGGGCACCTTTCCCGATAGTCTTGGTCACGGGCGGGTGGTAGTCCAAGCACTTGTTGCAGACGCACTTGTGCTCACACGGGAAGAAGACCATTAGGATCTTTTGCGTCTTGCACATGATGCAGCGCGCCTCGGGATCGAACGTTTTGTCGGACCGGCGCGAGAATGGCTTGGCGCTGTTGTAGCGATCGATGTCCGTGATGTAGTCGGTGGTCATGGATTGACTCTGTCGCCGGAGCGCTTGGAGCTTGAGTTGCTTCTCCTTTTCGCTCAGCGCCGTTGCGAGCGGGGTACTGCGTAGCTCTGGAATCGGCTGCTCGTCTTCGCTATTACGTCGTCGACTCGATATGAGGTCGTCGATCGGCGGCAGCGTCGAATCCGAGTCGAGCACGACCCGCGGCAGACTTGTCCAGTCGTCGGGCGGGTGTGCTTGGCAGTGTCCGCTCTCTTCGTGCCGGTACTGAATGACGCCACCGTGCGAGACCTCTTCGACCCAGCCTTCTCGCTTCTGCAAAACGGCGCTCTTCGCATGCTCTGCTTCAAGGGGCTCCATGAACCACCGTCGTCGCCACCGCGTTTCGCAGGAACGAACGCACTTTCTATTTCAGTCCCGAAACGCGTTGTCGTGTGCGATAGTCCATAAATACCGATAACGCCAACGTGCATAATGAGCTGTCATTGTCGGAGTCACTCGCCCCTTTGGTGGTGGCCCAAACTCGCTTTCCATCCCAGCAGGTAGGCAACCCATCTCTTGTGGGCTCAGAGCGCTCTTCGTAGCATGCATCTCGCTGGCGAAACGAGCCGAGGTTGACGACGACATGGCGTTGCACCTTCCATGACGCAGCTGAGAACTTATCGCGCTGCGGATGCTCTCCGAACCGCGTCGACTGCAGGCGTCCTGACATGGGCTGAGCCAAGGATGCCCACGGATACCATGGGGCACGCAGGCTGCTTGTTCGCATGTGCAAATTGCCCTTTGTCTCAAAGGTGAAATCTAGTCTTGAAGATGCAGCGCTAAACTAGATATTTGTATGCGTTCACAACCATCTGGTATAGAGAACTGCAACGGAGGTGCGTATGTATGCATTTCTGCGACAGACCTCGTTGCAGCCACCGCCTTGCATCTGGGCGCCACGATCGGGATTGGTCAAAATCGGTGCGCTTCGTGGCTGTTCCTCGCACGCGATTGGCAGATTTGGTTTCGACCAATCACGTGGTGACCTACGCAAGCGGGAGATCAACGAAGGCGACGGGGCAGCCACATAGTTTGTTTTCGCTCGTCGCACGCAAGTACTAAGAACAGAGTTGGCGCCTGCTGATGATGATGACGTAGCCATGCTCTCGTCCCTGCGCCAGCCGCTCCTGCGCCGCGCCTTGTCGTCGCACGCGCTGCCGTTCGCCGCCGCCTCCAACGTCCTCGACGGCCGCATCAACACCAAGTCGGCCGACTTTGTCGACAGCATGAAGCGCATGAACGACCTCACGGCCGAGCTCAAGGTTCTCTTCATGTACCTATCAGCACTCACATCTCAATCGCATTTGTGGTAGGTTCGTCTCGACAAGACGCGCCTCGGCGGTGGTGAGGCGGCGCGCGCCAAGCACGTAGCCCGCAACAAGCTTCTCGTGCGCGATCGCATCGACTCGCTCTTGGACCCGGGCAGTCCGTTCCTCGAGCTCTCGCCCTTGGCGTACGCTGCTGGTCCTTGGGGGATGTACCTCTCATGCTATGGCGTGTAGCGCCAACGGCATGTACGGCACGGACGTCCCCGCCGCCGGGATCGTCACGGGCATTGGTCGCATCAACGGCATCGAGTGCATGATTCTCGGCAACGACGCGACCGTGAAGGGCGGCACGTACTTCCCCATGACGGTCAAGAAGCATTTGCGTGCGCAGGAGATTGCGCGTGAGAACCGCCTGCCGTGCATCTACATGGTTGACTCGGGCGGCGCGTTCCTGCCCCTCCAGGCCGAGATCTTCCCGGACAAGGAGCACTTTGGCCGCGAGTTTTACAACCAAGCCATCATGTCGTCCGAGGGCATTCCGCAGATCGCGGTCGTCATGGGCAGCTGCACGGCCGGCGGCGCGTACGTCCCGGCCATGTGCGACGAGAGTGTCATTGTCCAGGGCAACGGCACGGTCTTCCTCGCGGGCCCGCCGCTCGTCAAGGCGGCGACAGGCGAGGTCGTCTCGGCCGAGGAGCTCGGTGGCGCCGACGTCCACTGCCGCACGTCGGGCGTGACGGACCACCTCGCCAAGAACGACGCGCACGCGATCGACATTGTGCGCCGGATCGTGTCCAACTTAAACCACGAGAAGAAGCCGGACATGACGCTGACGCCGGTCGAAGAGCCGGTCTTTAGCCCCGAAGAGCTCGGCGGCGTCATTCCCGTCGACTCGCGCAAGCCGTTTGACGTGCGCAAGGTCATTGCGCGCCTCGTCGACGGCTCCAAGTTTGACGAGTTCAAGCAGCACTACGGCACGACGATCGTCACGGGCTTTGCGCGCCTCTACGGTCGCCCGATCGGTATCATTGCCAACAACGGCATTCTCTTCTCCGAGTCGAGTGTCAAGGCCGCGCACTTTATCGAGCTCTGCACGCAGCGCCAGATCCCGCTGCTCTTTCTCCAAAACATCACTGGCTTCATGGTCGGCAAGAAGGCCGAGCACGGCGGTATCGCCAAGGATGGCGCCAAGCTTGTGACTGCCGTCTCGTGCGCCAAGGTGCCCAAGGTGACGGTCATCATCGGTGGCAGCTACGGTGCGGGCAACTACGGCATGTGCGGCCGCGCCTTCTCGCCGCGCTTCTTGTACATGTGGCCCAACGCGCGCATCTCGGTCATGGGCGGCGAGCAGGCCGCGGGCGTCTTGGCGACGGTCCAGCGCGACAACCTCGAGCGTGCCGGCAAGACGTGGTCGGCGGAGGAAGAGGCTGCGTTCAAGCAGCCGACGCTCGAAAAGTACGAGGCCGAGAGCTCGGCGTACTACTCGACGGCCCGCCTCTGGGACGATGGCATCATCGACCCGAAGGACACGCGCAAGATCCTCGGCCTCAGCTTCAGCGCCGCGCTCAACGAAAAGCCCGAGCCGACCAAGTTTGGCGTCTTCCGTATGTAGAGCGATACGCATAAGCTGTAGAGAAACAAGGAGCGTTGCTGTGTGTGAACAACGACAACGAGGTTGCATATCCCCATCGCTCGATCAATGGACATGGAGTACCAAGTGCACGAGCATGTATGATGATGGCTGGTTAGGCAAATGACAAAAGCAAGGTGAAGTTACTTGTCGTCTTCCTTCTTGGGCGCGCGGAGAGCCCGCTGCAGTTGGTAGAGCTGCGCCGTTTCGTTCGAGACGTGGCACACGAAGAGGAGGTAGTTGCGCGGCTGGACCATCCAGGCAAAGCGCATGAAGATCAAGCTGTACATGGCCATGGCTAGTTGCGAGAGAGAGTAATGAGACGCTGCCGTGACGTCCTTGGCACCTACCGCCGGTCATGTTGACCGAGATCGTCTCCGCCGGCTTGTTCATGTCGGCGATCGCCTAGTACGACGACCATGAGCATCTTGCGATGGTCCTCGCGACGTACGGCGGCGACGAAGCCCCAGTTGGCGACGGGTCCCCAGAAGTGCGTCGTCTTGGGCCCCGTGGGGTGGTTGAGGAAGGACTTGAATCGACTGGCAAACGTCATGAGCGGAAACTTTTACTCTGCGCCGCCCCCGGCCAGCACGCCTCCGCACGTTATCCGGATATCGAAACTCAATTGAGTACGGTCTTACAAACATCAAGTCAAACAAATAGCGGCGTTGAGTTTGGCGTGCCGCAATGCCTTTCTATTCATCGCCGACAAAGAGCCTTCGCGAGGAAGACGCCGTGGAAGCACTATGGCGCCTCCGCGGTAGAGTCGAGCGCCAACGTAATCCTGCCGACGTCCCTGCTTTTTATCCAGTGTCTTCGTTCGCTGCTTAGGTGCTAGCGGCTTTTGACGCCTGCATGGCCATGCTTCTTCTCGTAGATGCCTCAGAGCAAGCACTGCTGCTTTAGCGATATTGAAGAAACGTCCACGCAGAGCGAAATTGTCGGACTGGACTGGTACGAGGTGCGGTGAACATGCTCTAAATGCGACACCGGATCACATCTGGTGCTCGCGGCCTGAAGAAGGGTCGGGCGTGGGATTGGCAGCCGACGTGGACCAAGCGTGGAGTGTTGTGGGTGCATTTTCGGGTGATAGCCGGCATATTCCTTGAAAGGGGTGCTGGGACTTTGCTCGTCGTGAACGATTGTCAATAGAATCTCTCGCCTGGGGCAACCCGAGCGCTCTGCCAAGCGTCGTCGTCGTAGGCTGGAGGGGCGACCTCGTCTCAAGCACGTTGATAGTTGCTGTAAAACACACCAACGAACCCAGACAGTGCACGACCAGGTACGCACTTACGAGTGTGCTTGGTACATGGTACGGGCGTTTGATGGGCATGCTTGGCGCCACCTCGGAACGCAGAACGTCGCCCAAGTAGCTGCAATTTCGATCCTTCGATTCGCCTTCTCGCCTCCGTCATCCTCATTGGGCCACTCGAGAGCGATCTTTTGGCGTTCGATGGCCGTTGCGATCTCCAAAACGGTGGCGACGCCTTATGAACCTCTTTCTTTGAATGGAAGAATCTATTTGTTTTGAGAGTTTTCCGACTATCCGGATTCTCGACCCCATTACGCCCAGGTGATTGGGCAGCTGTGCTTTTTCCGGATCCGGATCATGCCACTTCGTGAAACGCAAACTCACTTTTGGTTTTGCTCGCAGCCGCAGACGCTCACCATGACGACCGCTTCGCTCGCGTCGTCGTCGACGACCTCGCAATATGGATCGGTGCCCGCGACCACGGGCAAGATAAACGCTCCAGAAGGCCTCAGCAAGAAGCTCTGGGCAGGCGCGGTGGTGGCTGCCACCATGGTGGCGGCCGGTGTCGTCATGACGACGGGCAGCTCGGACTCGACTATCATCATTGCCACCCTCGAGGACCATGCGCCGACCGTTGTTGAAGACAACGGCTTGCTCGTCGTCGAGTCGGCCTTTGAGGCGGAGCAGCTCTTCCGTCCCGTCGAGCACAAGGGTCTCACGAAGCAGAAGAAGTCCAAAAAGACCAAGGTCACCAGCACCATCCACGTCGACGACACCCAGGTCAAGCAAGAGATCCTTGGCTTTGGCGGCGCGTTCACGGAGGCAGCGGCAATCCAGTTCAAGAAACTGTCGCCGGAGCTCCAAGAAGAAGTCTTGCGCCTCTACTTTGACAAGGAGACGGGCGCCGGCTACACGATTGGTCGCGTGCCGATGAACTCGTGCGACTACTCGCCGGGGTCGTACTCGTTTGACGATGTCGTCGACGATGTGACCTTGTCGCACTTCGACATGAACGTGACGCACGACCACGACACTATGATCCCTTTCATTCAGGCTGCGCTGGCCAAGCGTCCAGACATCAAGCTCTTCCTCTCGCCGTGGAGCCCGCCTGCGTGGATGAAGCTGCCGGACGGCAAGGGCAAGCAAACCATGACAGGTTCCGTCCAGCCCGTGGGCCTCGACCCCAAGTACCGCTCCGCGTGGGCACTCTACTTTTCCAAGTTTATCACGGCGTACCAGGGCCAGAACATTTCGTTCTGGGGCCTCACGCCGCAGAACGAACCCATGTTTGCGGCTCCGTGGGAAGCGTGCTCGTACGACGCGCAGGCCGAAGCCGCATTCGTCGCCGACTACCTCGGCCCGCAGATCCGCCAGGACCACCCGGACGTCAAGATCATGGTGTTTGACCACAACCGCGACGCCGTGACGCAGTGGGCCCAGGCGGCGTACAACAAGGCCGCCGAGTACGTCGACGGTGTCGCCGTCCACTGGTACAACGGCGGTGGCCGCGAGCTGGACGGTGTCCTCTTCCACACACACCTCAACGACACGCACCATCTGAACCCGGACAAGTTCATCCTCGCGACCGAGAGCTGCAACTGCCCGGACGTAGCCTCCGGCGCCGACGGCTGGTTCCGCGGCCAGCGCTACGCCCACGACATTCTCGGCAATCTCAACAACTGGGCCGTCGGCTGGGTCGACTGGAACCTCATGCTCGATCACACGGGTGGCCCCAACCACCTCGGCAACACGTGCGACGCGCCCATCATCATGAACCCGGCCGGCGACAACTTTACGCTCCAGCCCATGTACCACTTTATCAAGCACTTTTCGCAGTTTGCGCCGCCCGGCTCCAAGCGCATTGCGTCCGACATCCGCGTCGAGTACGCGGCGCCGGGCATCCCGGACCTCTACACGCAGTACCCGGCGGCGGCGCACCACTGCGACAAGTCGAGCCGACAGTCGCTCTACAAGACGCAGGACTCGAAGATCAAGGTCACGGACAACGACTTTTGCATCGACGTCGTGCACGAGTGGTTTGGCAACAAGATCGAGCTCGTCAAGTGCATCTACACGTCCAACAGCTGGACGTTCGGCGATGACGGCTCGATCCACTTCCGCGGCCAGTGCCTCGCGACCGCCCACGGCTCGCTCGAGTCGGGCGCCGCGCTCACGCTCGAGCAGTGCGTGGACGCGGACCACCAGAAGTGGACCTTCGTCGACACGCAGCTCGTCAACAAGGCCACCGGGCTCTGCGCGACCGCGGGGTACGCGTTCGCGCAAGCGATTGCGTTCAAGACGCCAGAGGACAAGAAGGTGCTCGTCGTCCTCAACGAAAACTCGGAAGACGCTTCGTTCACACTCACAACCAACGACGGCCGGCAAGTGGAGACTACCGTGCCCAAGGGCGCGATCCGGACGTACCAGTGGGCGTAAAGCCTTGTTCTTATGCTGAATCGAGTCGTGATATTCGTGTGCTTGTCGCTTCCACGAGCCACGACGATGGTTGGCATGTCGCAAGCGCATCCGCCTCCGGAGGCTGCTGCCGTAAACGTCGGAGAGGGTGTCGACGGGACAGCGATCGGCGGTTGGTAGCCGCTCGTTCTGGTCCTCGTGGCTAACTTCAAGTGGCGGCAAATTGAACCGGCTGCTCGCCCAGCTTCAAGCCCCACTGTCGACAAAATTCGGACGCGATCACCTAATTAGGAAGCCGATCACCTAATTAGGTCATGAGTCCGAAGTGGCACTTTCTCAGCATGTGATTGGATTGGCTGCAGCGCGTAGCGATCCCAGGTGATGGGCGAAACGTCGCTTGGGTCACTTTTCGAAATCCTCTTTGATGCAGACGCACAAGACGACGTACGGCAGCCTACCGCTCGCCGCCGACGACGCCGAGTCGCCCATGTGCGTGCGCCACAAGCACCTCCGCGCCATCGGCCTCGTCTCGCTCGCGTCCTTGGCCGTCGGCGCCGTGACGTACACAGCCAGCGCCGCCCGCGCTGTCGAGTCGAATGACCTCTTTGTTGTCGAGACGGCGGGTGAGAACCGCGTCGCACCCATCGCCCACGCCCCATTGGCGGCCAGCCCGCTTGCGCTCAATGAGAACAGCTACATTCGCATTGACAGCGGTGTCGAGTACCAAGAAATCTTGGGGTTTGGCGGTGCGTTTACCGAGTCGGCAGCGATCCAGTTTATGAAGCTGCCCGCCGAGAAGCGCGAGGAGCTACTCCGCTTGTACTTTGATCCCGAGACAGGCTCGGCGTACTCGTTCGGGCGCGTGCCCATGAACTCGTGCGACTTTAGCCCGGGCACGTACTCGTTCGCTGAAGTACCCCACGATACGAACCTCGAGCATTTCGACTCGTCCGTCGCGCACGACAACGAAGCCATGATCCCGTTCATTCGCGCCGCGCTGGCCAAGCGTCCGGACATGAAGCTCTTCCTCTCGCCGTGGAGCCCGCCGGCGTGGATGAAGTACCCCGACGCGCACGGAGCGTCCAACATGCTCGGGTCCGCGGCGCCCTACGGGCTCTTGCACCAGTACCGGTCGACGTGGGCGCTGTACTTTTCCAAGTTCATTGACGCGTACGCCGGGCACAACATTTCGTTTTGGGGCGTCACGCCGCAGAACGAGCCGCAGCAGCACGCACCGTGGGAAGCCTGCCTCTACGATGACGCGTACCAAGCGGACTTCATCGGCCACTTCCTCGGGCCGCAGCTGCGCAAGACGCACCCGAACGTGAAGCTGCTCATGTTTGACCACAACCGCGGCAACGTCCAGATGTGGGCCGGCGCCGTCTACAAGCACAAGGCCGCGACGCAGTACATTGACGGCGTCGCGTTCCATTGGTACGACAACACGCGCGAGCTCGACGGCGTCCAGAACCACGAGCACGTCAACGACACGCACAACCTGCACCCGGAGAAGATTCTGCTGGCGACCGAGGCGGCCAACTGCCCGGGCGTCGCGTCCGGTGACGATGCGTGGGCACGCGGCATGCGCTACGCCCACGACATTCTTGGCGACCTCAACAACTGGGCGGCCGGCTGGGTCGACTGGAACCTCATTCTGGACCACGAAGGAGGTCCCAACAAGCTCGGGAACGCGTGCGACGCACCCATGATCCTCCATGAAGACGGGTTGAACTTTACGGTCCAGCCCATGTATCACTTTATCAAGCACTTTTCTGCGTTTGTGCCGCCCGGCGCCAAGCGCATTGCGTCCGACGTGCGCGTGACATACGCAGCCCCCGGCAACGTCACGCTCGGCAACCAGTTTCCGGGCGGCGCGTACCACTGCGACCAGTCAGCCAACCAAGCGTTCGAGCGCACGTCCGACAACAAGCTCAAGGTCGTTGGCACCATGTACTGCCTCGACGTCGTCCACGAAGAGTGGCTCGGTGATCGAATCGAGATGGTCAACTGCATGTACACGCAGCACCAATGGAGTTTTACCAATGCCAGCACGATCCAGTTCCAGAACATGTGCTTGACGGCGCGCTATGGCGCCTTGGACAACGGCGGGCGGCTCTCGATCGAGCCATGCGAGGCGGGCGCGACCCACCAAGCATGGAGCTTCCACGGCCACGAGCTGCGCAACCAGATGACCAACAAGTGCGTGACGGCGGGCTATGCACTGACGCAGGCAGCAGCCTTCAAGACGCCGGCCAACGACATGGTGCTCGTCGTCCTCAACGAAAACACCGAAGACGCCCACTTTACGCTTGTCGTCGGCGACGTGTCGGTGCCAACGTATGTGCCCAAGCGAGGTATTCGCACATACCGCTGGGCCGCCTAAGCGCCTTTAACTCTCTTGATTTACTCTTCGATCATGGTTGCAATGGCCGCCTCGGATGCGTGGATCGCCAAGTGCAGTGGGATCTTGGAGTGCTTGCGCCGCGCTTCAAACACCTCGATGGCCTCGCGGTCGTACGCCGGGTCGACGTCGTCTTTTGAAATCTACGAGCACTCAGAACGTATTGCGGTATGAAGAGGAAGAAACCTCTTTCCACACAAACTCGGCGTCGAGATGGCGTACAAACTCTGCCCGCGTCGCGGGACTCCGGCGCTCGTTGGCAATGTAGATGATTGTCTACGCATTTGCGGTTGGAGGACCGAGGGCGTTGATGCTACCTTGCGGTTGGCGAGGGCGAGGATCGACTGGATCAGTGGCTTGACCGCTGCGACGTCGTAGAGGACATCGGCGCACAAAATGATATCTGCGAAGAAGAATGAGCACAGAAGGAGTCGATGGGTGTACCAAAGGGTGGCGTATCGGGAAGGAGCGACGACACGGACGCGCATGATGTGCCCCACGAGTACTCGTGCACGAAGACGCGGCCTGCGGTCTCGGCCTCGCTAAAGTTGGACGCGACGTTCTGCGTGAGCCATTGCAGGACGGGCCCGACATCTGTGAGCACGACGTGGTAGCCGAGCTTAGCGAAGGCAATGCCTGCGAGGCCGCACCCAGCGCCAAGCTCAATGACGCTGATTGCCGCCTTCTTGCGCTTGTGCTGCGCGAGCGCCAAGTCGAAGCGCGACGCGCGCTGCTTCTCGATGAACTTCATAAAGACCTTGCTGCTGTCCCAGACTGTGCTGCCGAG